TTATGTGTTCCTGCAGAGGATGGCAAAAATACAAGTAATGGTGATGCTCCAGAGAACAATGCTTTTTTTTTTTTTTTTTTTTTTGATTAACCAGGAGTTGACCAGCCTTCGGCCAATCCACCACCTAGTGCATGGCACCAGCCTGCGTCTGTACCGGTTAAGGCCCTGGACACGCCTCTCCGCCTGCGAATCGCACAGCTGACCTCCCAAGGTTGAGGGGCAGGTACCACTGGACTATCGAGTCCGGGTAAATCTAGAGAACAATGCTCAATGCTAAGTATACAACTGTTTACATTGGGAATCTTGATACCGAGGTAAAGAAAAGGACATTGTAGGATTTAAGCTTGACAGAATTGTCATATGTACCTTTGATATAAATATTTATATATTTGTTTGTGTTTTCAGGTTTCCCAGGTTGATCGTCACCGCCACTTCTTTTCTCTTGGTGCTGGAGTTATTGACGAGGTTCGTGTTCAAAGAGACAAAGGTTTTGGATTTGTAAGATACTCTACTCATTTAGAGACCGCCTTTGCTATACAGCTGGGAAATACACATTCCTACCTCGGTGGTATGCACTTAAGGTCCTAACTAGATATAAATGCATCTTAGATATTTCGATTCATAGTTAAGTTTCATTTTGCTTTATTTCTGAGTTTCGTATAAATGTGAAACAAATCATCGAACTTTGATTTAATGAGATTGTTGAGTTTATATATTATTTTTGTTAGTTATTGTTCTGTATAATGAATTTTTAATTTATCACCTCTTATGTGACTTGAAACTTAAAGGTGTTCTTCTTCTACTTAAATTTCAGATAATTAGCCAACTGAGTAAAGAAAAAACTTGAGAAAGGTATAAGAAGAGCAACGCGTGCAAAAAAGTCATTATTTTGCTTCAGTTTAAGAATTTCATACAAATAATAGTTTACGATCTTTTCATGTTCGATTTTATTCTCTAATAAACCACTGCACATGTACATGTAGAGTTTTATGACCATTGTATCTTCAACCACTGTAATTTCAATTGTTCCTAACTCCACCACTTTTAGGAAGTAGAAACGAAAAACCGATTGACCATTGCCAAAGAGAATATAATCTTCAAAAGCTAATGTTAATTGAAAATGGAAACTCAATTATTCCAAATTTAAATTAATTGACCATTTAACAATAGTTTTATAGGAAGCTAAATCAAAAATAAAAGATTAATCTATACTATTATTTAAGAAGTAATTTGCTTAGTTATCATGTTCTCCATAAGTTTAGGTAATTTTTTTTATTTATCATATTTTTAATATTTATATATCAATTACTTATAAATAAAACAAATTTATATCATATTTTTTAAAAATAAGATAATTTTGTGAATTATATTTTATCTTGAAATATATTTTATATATAAAACTTAAATTTTAAATTAATAAATTATTATATTTATTATATAACTAAAATGAATTTATATTAATAATTTTATATTTTTCTAAAGAAAGATAATTCTTAAGTATTATGTTGTTACGTTGAAGATTAAGATATAAAATTATATATATCCCCTATACATTATTTGTGAAGTGATTTTGCCACATGTCCTCTCTACAATCAGTTTCACAAAAAATGATGACATGTCTACTAGAATTGATGACATGGCATATGATTAAATATGACATGGACAATTGCATTTAATCTTAATATATTTTTTGGAAAACTTTATAAAATATGGTAACAACTCATATATTACATTTAATGTCGATTTATATTTTTGGAAATATTTTTAAAATATGGTAATAACTAATAAATCATCATTAAAATAAATATATACCAATATGACATTAAAATTTTTGAAAATATCATTTGATTATATATTTTAAAACTATACAATTTTATTACAAAAATTTCAAAAATGTATACATTTTTTGAAAATTATTAAAATTTAATCGTAAAATTATTAATTTCTTATATATTTAAAAATTTAATAAATATTGTCTAATTTTAATTTTTGATTATTATAAAATTTTCTACAAATTTATTTAATATATTTAATTAAAATAAATAGATAAAAATTATCTAAGATTATAATTTTAAATATATACATGCATATTCTTAAATATAATTTAAAATGAACAAAGATATTTTTATATTACTTTTTATGTTTGATTAAACAAAAATTTGTATTAAAATAGTGATAAGAAAAAGAACTCATAAATTATCATTAAGATAATAAATAATATAATAGTAGAAATATAAATATAATAATATTACAAATATTAAAATATTTTTAAGTGTATTTTTATAATTATATATTTTTTATTAATAATTTTTTTTTCAAAATTTTATGCAGTTTTTAAAAAAAAATTAAAATGTTCTAATCCCAATACCATTAGCTTTATTTATAACATCTATACATTTTAGAAATATTATTTACTATTATATTTTGATAATTATATATCTAACAAAATTTCCTCTTAATAGTATATAATCTGATTTAATATAATTTAACCAAAAGATAAAAGATATATATATATATATATATTATTAAATATAAATTTAAGAATTTTTTTTAAAGATAGACCTCAAAAAAAATTTTAATCACAAATATAGACCTTAAAATAAAATTGACCAAGATAGACTTAAATGTTTTATCAAAAATAAGTAAATATACACTTATATCATTTGGATTAACTAATCGTAAATCTTTTTGTTTAAAGTTGGGGAGTGGGGTTTTCGGGATAGGATTACAAATTTAAAAAAAAAATTGAAATTTTCAAAATAAAGACCTTAAAATAAAATTGACCAAGATAGACTTAAATGTTTTATCAAAAATAAGTAAATATACACTTATATCATTTGGATTAACTAATCGTAAATCTTTTTGTTTAAAGTTGGGGAGTGGGGTTTTCGGAATAGGATTACAAATTTAAAAAAAAAATTGAAATTTTCAAAATAAAAAAATGATGTTTTGGTTATTTTAGTTTTAAGATTTATTTTTGTGAAAAAACCTAAAAATGTTCTATTTGAGAGAACTGTCCTATATTTAAATAAAACTGTTTATTTTCTCTTAATTTTTACATATAATTAATATAAAATTAATAATGTAATCAAATAACAAATTTAAAAAATTAACTAAATTTTATTTTTAAATATAAATTTATTTTTAAATTTTTTATTTCTGCACATGGTGCAGGAAACCACCTAGTATTATTAATAATTAAATATAAATCATCAAAACAATTATTTTAAAAGTGAATTTGTTGATTTGTCTTCATGATCTTAGGTAATTTTAATTATTTATCACAATTTCTCTAATTTTTTATTATTGATTATATAATTAAAACTAATTTATATTAGTAATATAATATTTTAGAAAATAAGTTAATTCTTATGTATTACGCTGCTGTCTTGAAAATAATTTTTCTATTATAAAATTAAAATTAACATGTAACAAATATATACTATTATTTAAGAAATAAATTTGATATTTGCTGATTTGTAATTTTTTTCATGATGTTATGTAATTTTGATAATTTATCACAATTTCTATAATTTTATATATAATTTATTATATATTTAAAAAAATATATATTAATAGTATCAGATTTTTAGAAAATAAGATACTTCTTATGTATTAAATTGTTGTCTTGAAAATCTATTTTTCTATGAAAAATTGAAATTAAGATAGAAAAAAATTGTAGTTATTCTGTAATTGAAATAAATTTAAACTAATAATATTTTACTTTTAGAAAATAAAATAATTCTAATGTACTATGTTATTATCTTGAAAATATATTTTTATATTATATAATTTAAAATTAAAATAAAAAATTGTCTATTATTAATTAAATATAAATCATCACTCAAGAAAAATTATTTAAGAATTGAATTCTGATTCATTAAGTTCTTCATGATTTTAGGTAATTTTAATTATATGTTATAATTTTATAATATTATATAATTATTATAAGTAAAACACTATTATTTAAGAAGTAAATTTGCTTAGTTGTCATGAGCTTCATAAGTTTAGGTAATTTTGATTATTTATCATATTTTTAATATTTATATATAATTTACTTATAAATAAAACGAATTTATATGAATGTATCCTATTTTAAAAATAAGATAAATTTGTGAATTATATTATATCTTGAAATATATTTAAATTTTAAATTAAAAAATTATTACATTTATTATATAACTAAAACAAATTTATATTAGTAATTTATATTTTTCTAAAGGAAGATAATTCATCTGTATTATGTTGTTATGTTGAAAATTCAGATATAAAATTATAAATATATATTATTATAATTAAATATAAATCTTCAAAAAAATTATTTGAAAAATGAATTTGTTGATTTGTCTTCATGATCTAAGGTAATTTTAATTATTTATCACAATTTCTCTAATTTTGTTTATTATTTATTATATAATTAAAACTAATTTATATTAGTAATATGATATTAGAAAATACGTTAATTCTTATGTATTACGCTGCTGTCTTGAAAATAATTTTTCGGTTATAAAATTTAAAATTAACATGTAACAAATCTATACTATTATTTAAGAAATAAATTTGATGTTTGCTGATTTGTAATATTTTTCATGATGTTATGTAATTTTCATAATTTATCATAATTTATATAATTTATATATAATTTATTATATATTTAAAAAATATATTAATAGTATCAAATTTTTAGAAAATAAGATACTTCTTATGTATTAAGTTGTTGTCTTGAAAATATATTTTTCTATTAAAAATTAAAATTAAAATATAAAAGTTGTTGTGTAACTGAAATAAATTTACACTAATAATATTTTAATTTTAGAAAATAAAATAATTCTTATGTACTATATTATTATCTTGAAAATATATTTTTATATTATATAATTTAAAATTAAAATAGAAAATTTGTCTATTATTAATTAAATATAAATCATCACTCAAGAAAAAATATTTAAGAATTGAATTTGCTGATTCATTAAGTTCTTCATGATTTTAGGTAATTATAGTTATATATCATAATTTCTATAATATTATATAATTATTATATAATTAAAACAAATTTATGATATTATATTTTTAGTAATAAATAACTTATGCATTATATTTTTATCTGGAATATATGTTTTATATTATGCAATTAAAAATTAAGATATAAAAACTATAATTAAATATTAATTAAGTAAAATATTATAATTAAATATAAATCAAGCAAAATAATTATATAAATATATTATTTTAAATATTTCTGATATCTGAGTTTCGTCATTGATAATTATTTGATGTTTGATTTGTACTTCTTAAAAACATAAATAATAATTTATTATGCTGGGTTTTAAATTAATAAAACATCAACTAAAAAATATCTATAAGTAAATTATTTCCGCAAATGCAGGCAAACACCTAATTAGATCTTAAAAATAAATTTTGAGTTTCAATTATCTTAACATTGTTTGACAGAAATAGTTTAACTTTTTATATTTATCTGAGAATTTATATTTCTATAATTGATAATATTACATATATATATGTATTCAATTAAAAAGGCCAAAAACTTAAATTATATTAAAAATTCCAAAAACAAGTCGGGCGTAGCCCGAGAATAGCTCTAATGGCTATAAAAGAGCAACCTTCCTTTTCATCTGATACACACAAAAATAATCAACTCATCCTTCATATGCTCTTATTTTTTTATTTTTTTTTGTGTTCAAAAGTATAACACAAAAATAGGTTTGATACACTATATCTTTTAGTGATGGGAGACAAAAATACACGCAATTGTATCTTGAGGTTTTGGAATGCCATGTAAACCGTCACACTCCGGGACATTTACAAAATTAAAGAAATAATATCTCACCTCTACAAATACATTTTTTCCAAAATTTTGTATTGATATTTTATATTTATAGATTTTCTTATGAAATTACGTTACAATTATTCAGTTCGTCATATTGTAGAATTTGCTTTCTTACAACAACACAATAAATCAGGTGTACATGTGGCATAGTAATAACCATGATCTCTACAATAAAAATGGCAGGCGCCTGCTCCTCCAAGACGACATATACCTCCATTGACACATTCAATATCCATCTGCTTTACTCCATAACCTATTGTATTAAATAAATATTACTGAGCCAGTATATATATGATCTATTAATCAAACTTTTTCTTATCAACTACTTTGGACAAACTTTTAAAAGAAAACTGTTTTCTTGGACTACCATTAAAATTATAATGGCCAAGCTAAATTATATATTCTAATATTTAACATAATCTTATTTCGTTTTCAATATATTATCTACTATATATGCTATCACAATATATTTTAAAAATACATAATCTACTATATAAATGAAAATCTCAACAAATTACAGATTCATAAATATTCATTATAGGTTTTCTAACAGATCCAGTTTCCATAGTTTTATATTGCTATATTCAAAAATAAATATTTACTATTTACTAAAATGATGACAAAATATCTAATAAACCAAAAGTATACAAATGAGCTTCAGTTTTAATATTCATTAATTTAATAATATAATTTACAATAATAAACTATAAATTCTACATGCTCACAAGATAAAATAGGTTCTATTTCAAAAATATTAAAATTTAATTTATTTTTTAAAGAAAATATGTGTTTAGTGCGGATAGTAGACTAGATTTTCACTAAAAGAGGTTATTTCTGGACTACCGTTAAAATTGTAATGATCCAACTAATATATATAAATATGTTCTAATTTTAATATAATCTTACTCGATTTTGAATATATTATCTATTATATATGCTATCATAAAAAATATTTTAAAATTACCTAATATACTATAAAAATGGAAATCTCAACAAATTATAATTTCATAAAATATTCATCATATACTTTACAACAAATCCAATCTCCAAAATTTTCATTAATATATACAATATATATATATATATATATATTTATTTATTTATATGAAGATTTTTATTAACAAGAATAACTCATATTTAATTATATTTTAAATGTGACATATTATTATTTTTAAAAAATTTGAAATTTTATATTTTATATTTGAATATAAATATAACATGTGATATTATTAAATGAAATAACTTAATTATATTAAATTATTTTAAGTTTGTACATATCCTAAATACAGTTTCTCTACCAAAAACTTTGTGTAAAATCATTGGATAAAAAGCATTTGAATCATTTAAATGTTATTCTAAATACTTATATTAATTATTAATTTGATAGTAAAGAGCATAATATTTATGCCAATACTTTGTCAGTAAAAATCTAAAATATTGACAAAATATATTATAAACAAAAAGTTATGCAAATAAGCTTTTGTACTAATATTTATTAATTTAACAAAAATTTCAATAATAAATTATAAAGTCTACATACACAGAAAAATATAATAGCTTTGACTTTAATAATATTTTAATTTAATTTAATTATTTTCAAATATAACCATTTACCACAGATAGTAGACTTGTTACTCATTAAAAATAATATAAAATCTTATTTTTTAAATGAAACATAATGATAAATCTTTTCTTACTTTTAAAATAAATAATATTCAAATACCTGGAATATTTGCAGTAGTCGGTTTACAATGAACGGAAAACACAATGAAGAGCGCAGTAAAAACAAATGCCACTAAATTTTTTATGGTGATAGCCATTTTTATAGTAATATCCTAAATTTTTTTGTTCTGTTTTTGTCCTCTTTGCTTGGATTAATTATATATATATAGTGAGAAGACCATTATATATGGTCAAGAGTTGTAAAAGGAGCGTAATCTTTCATTTAATATAAAGATGTTGACAAATGATAAATGATTAATTTTTTATTTATTTATGTGTTATTAGACAATTTATTTAGAAAGAAAAATGATAACTTAGTTTATTTAAAAATGATATAGCTTCCCTCTAATTATGATATATATAAATGTAATGATAAATATTTTGATTTTTGGTAAATTTCTTAAAATAAGATAATTACAAAATATGACTACATACCATAAATTTTAATAATATTTCCAATAATTTTTGAAATTCTAAACATAATCTTTATGATATAACTGTAAATATAAAAGTTTTTATAAATTGAACTGATAAAAGAAGTAACTAATCTCATATAATTATTTATATTTTCTTCAAAATTAGTTATAAATATTTTAAAAATAGGATATGACAATTTTGATTAAATTTTAAATTTAAGTTATATTTGGATCCGAATGTTTATGGATGATTAATCGTATTTTTAATCAATTGAATTTATATTGGATTTAAATTTTATACAATAATTGTTACGTGATGATTATTATTGAGATAAATAAAATAAGTAAAGTTTATGGATGTAGTAATTCTAAACATAAAAATTTACTCAAAACTATAGTTTAAATATATTAATATAAGATAATATAAAATAGAGGAAATGATTTATTTTATTTTAATGTTACTTAACTAAACCGAAAAATAAAACAAATAGTGTTAAGTCAAATGAAAATAAATAATAAATAGTAATTATGATTTCATTTTTATTTTAAACTTATTAAAATAAAATTATGTTTTTATATTATATATTATTACGTTTAAATTATTTTATTTATATAGATGGAGCAGAAAACAAATTAGTCTGCCATAAATCCGGCTTAAAAACATATATTGACCAAAATCACTGAACGACTTTTTACCTAATTAATTTTTATCATTTCTGACATAGAATTCATTCTCTTGTACATAAAATACCACTAGGGCATTTTTTGGGCTACGCCCGGGTTATTTTTTTATAAAATTATTACAATAGTCATGAACTTATGCATTTTTTGTTGTGATTTGGAAGATACATACATTAATACTAATTAGTTTGCTAAATTTACTAAATGTGTCCTTTTACATTTAGAGAAGTTATTTTTATTTTTGACACATTTTTAAGATTATATGGATAAGAACAATATTAAATTTAATAAATAATATTTATTTTCTATTTACATAAATTATAATAATATAATTTGGATAAATAGTAATGAAACAAAAAGCTCTTTCATGTATCAACAGAACTGCCTTCATTCTGAAAAGACATGGATATGTTTTTACATTCAAAAAAATGGTGTAAATTAGACAATAAGTTATTTTTTTAATACTTTACCACACCATCCGTTGCTCTTAGTGAAATTAATTCTGAGAATGCGATTGGATGATTGAAGACCAGCTTCTCTTAGAGTTTTTGATACCTTTTTTAAACATTATCAAGTTAGACTTTTAATAAACATGGAAGTAGCATAGAAGCGGTGGTGGTTAAAAGTCAAGTCAAGTCAAGGACAGAAACTGAGCTATAAAAAGACAAAGGAACTTGGTCAAGGCAGGAGAAGTGGTCATGGATTAGAGCATAATTCTTCTTTGCGTTGTTGATCTTGTCTAAAAAACTGAGATAGAAGGATCCAACGGTGATGGTTCATCAGATGCAGACGACGTCGTTGATGAGAGCGTACTTCTTCTTGGCATAGACATCTCTTCTACTTCCAATCTTGAAATATGGCAAAGGTTACCTACAAGCCTAACATTGTTGGGCTCATATCAATCATAATCATAACACATCTTAGCTACAGAGAGAGCTAGCAACTGAATATCACTGGTCCCAAGTGGTTTCAGTTTATTAAGGATGAATCAATATGTTTAAGATTATGGATGGTGAAGAAATCTATTATAGATCCAAATACATAAGAATGGAATCCGGTGCTAATCAACAATAGATTGTTTAGTGATGAACTTATAAATTCGATTTATGATATGATACCTCTCTCAGCGTTTCTTGATATTTAGCGAAAAGCTCATTGTACATTATTTGAAGATCAGACTTCTCATCTTGTAGTCTTTCGTAATCAGACGCTAAGGACCTTCTAGCTTTTGCTGGATGAATCTGAAAGCAAAACCAAAGAAGGATCATATAGTAATAAATCATAAAAAAACTTCTCAAAGCACTAAAATATCTAATAAACAAAAATAAAGGATCATCTAGTAGAAAAAGAGTAAGTGTCTAGGAACTTGTATTGGAGAGCAATGCAAAATAAATACTCTTAAGACGTGCCTATGCGTATAAAGTTGCGTGGAAAGGTACATATAGATGCAAACTTTAAGCGGAACAGGATGGAGCTCCAATGGCCACATAGACATCTCTTATCGTAATGCTGCTCTTTGCTGCCTATTTAGGACCAGAAGGGAGTCTCGATTGATCATCTCCGTACACGGTGGGATCTCCTCGAGCGATCTGTGAGCTGCCCCACTTACTGTGTGGATGTGTTGAAGCACTGAAGAAACCTTCTTCCGTGAGCTAAGAGTGAGTTCCAAATATAGGTGAAAGCCATCCTTACAAAGTTTCAAAAAAATAAACAAAGTTTGACAAACATCCACCAGGATGTATACTTAGTCCATGTCTTATGGTCAGTTCTTAGACTTTACCTTTTCTAGTCCTTGACGTGTATGAACATCCAAAGGAAAGAGCTGCAACTTCATTTTTCCAGAAGGTCGTTGAACCGAATGGAGGTCAAGGACATGTATTTGTTGAGCTCTTCCGTCTTTGGTATTCACACAACTTTGAACTTGAAAGGATGGAGAATCAGAAGGTGACTTCTTCTTCTCTCTTTTACTATTATGCTTTCATGCCAACAAATCCTTGATAAGAACATTAAAAACAATACACGTCATTAATAATAAGAATAATTTGAAATTACCAGAGTCATGGAATTTCTTAGTAGTTGTTTTCATGCACTTATAGGCTCTGGTGAAGTTTCCCCTGGCTTTGATCTCCTTTGAGGATTCAGTTGAAGTCTTATTTTTCTTTCTAGCCATTCTGCAAAACAAAAAAACAATCAAAACTCAAGAGACAAAGCCTCCCCATTCATTATGCTATTTCACAGAGATTAATAAGGAAAGCTCCGACTATACAAATTCTTCCACAAACGAACTAACTACAATCAAATCAATTCAGAATGGTTTAACAACACACAAATACAAATACAATCAAATCGTCCCGTTCATAAAAAAAATGATATTTAGCAAAAGAACTCATTGTACATTATTTGAAGATCAGACTTCTCAGTTTGAAGTTTTCCGTAATCAGACACTAAGGACCTTCTAGCTTTTGCTGGATGAATCTGAAAGCAAAACCAAAGAAGGATTATATAGTAATGGATCATTAAAAACCTCTCAAAGCACTAAAATCTCTAATAAGCAAAAATAAAAGATCATCTAGTAGAAAAAAGAGTAAGTATCTAGGAACAATACCTTTGGTGAGAGAATCAAGAACTCAACTGGACTCTAAATACTTCATGAAAGCTTCTTTCTTGGCTTATTTCTCCTGATTTATGTAGAAACAAAAACATAAATATATCAAAAACTAAAATAAACAGAGCTTTATGATCAACTCATTCTCTTCTTTGATCTCTTTTGCAACATGCTTACCGTTCATTTCCAGTGATTTCAGGTTACCCTCTGAAGATCCAAAGTTATGGTTATAGTGGTGGAAATTAACAGCCACGTTAATCTTCCTGCATAAACAATCCACCGTAGGGTTAATTAACTTCTTTTCCTTAGACTGTGAACTGATTGATCTTAGATCGGAATCGTGAAACGGAAACGAAAAAGAGGGAGAGGAAAGGATTCACTATTCCTGGACACAAAATTATGGTTAATGAGAAAGGGGGTGAGGAAAGGTGACGGCACTTAGGATGAATTGGGTTTGTTGGACCACGCAGGAAATCAACAAAGAGTACTCATTAAAAAAAAAGTCCAAAACCCATAACACTGAATGACATGGCGAAATGAAATGTTTTGATTGACCAAATATAATTGCTGACATGGACATGCTGAATGTTGAGGATAGCCCCTTTTAGTATTGTATACATTCATTTATTGGGTTCAGAGTGTGTTTTTTTACATATAGGAATTGTTTCAGAGTTTAGTTTATTCATTTATAATTACTGTAATGTTTGCTAAAATTTAAGTTTTATTCAAGTTCCATTAAAGTTATTAGTTAGTAAAATCAATGTTATCATATACTTAAAGATAAAACAAAAAAACTAATTATCTAGTCTATTGATTTAAGGTCATATTTGTATCTACTATTAACAAATCATAGGGCTTGATTGGTAGAGCATTAGCATAAGCATTATTTTATCTATTATCCAATCAACATTTGTCAAAGAAGCATTTAGAAAAACATTTACCAAATGCAAATGCTCTTTGCTCAATTCTCTCATATAGAGCTTTCGGGAGAGCATTTGCAGATAAAATATGTAAAACTTAAAATAATTATATATAATTAATTAATTTTCGTTTAATAATATATAAATATTTTTATATATATATTGATATATTGTAAAATATAAACATATTATTTCTACACTAATAAATAAATAAATTATATAACATATATTAATTTTTATGATAATTTTATATATGATTCATTTACTCTTCTACCAATAAATAAATAATAATAATTTATATATATTGTATATAATTTATATATTTATTTAATAATATTAAAGTATTTTTATATCCAAAATAATTTAATATTTTAAAAATAAATTTTACATTTTTTAAATATAATTTATCTACTAATAATAACAATCCTCATTAATTCCAAAGGTTGTTAATCTCTAATTGAAGGGATGTATTGTTACTTTAAATATACTTTGAAACAATGTGTCTGTTCATAAATTAGTTTATTTGAAAGAATGTGTTTATTGTTTTAAAAATAATTGAAAGGATGTATTTTTTTAAAAAAATTTGAAACAATGTGTCTATTGAAAAGTTAGTTAAGTTGAAAGAAGATGTTTATTCAAGAAATATATATATATATATATTTATATTTATAAAATGTATTTTTTGATAATGTAGAAACACAACTCTTGAAACTAGTAGAGTTAATATTTTTTTTAATGAAAATACATATTTTTTAATAATGTAGAAACACTAATATATTAGCTATGTTTTTGTATGAAAAGACACAAGTTTAAATATTAGTTGAAGTTTTTTATTAACCTATTTTTTACTATGAGAATACACAACTCTTGTAACTTATTTAAATACTTTTAAAACTATTTTTTATAATGAAATATGCAACTTTTAAAGTAATAGAGTTTTTTTTGGAAAGACACAACTTTTTTATAATAAAAAGATACCACTTTTAAAATTAATATACAGTTTTTTGTTGAGGATTTGTTCATAGGTATTTTTAAGATTCGTTTTAGCAATAGACGTCTTCTAAGTCTTGCATGTTCAAAGGCGCCTTTTTTAAAAAAAAACTGCATAATTCTCCTCATAACCCCCACAATCGTCATCTTCCTCAAGAGTGGTATCTTTTCAGAGTGTTATATATCGAAGAGATTTGAGGATTTCTTCCATTTTCTGGTTTTCTTCTTATCTCTCTCTCCGGATTTTAAATCTCTGTTTTGTTGCCGCAGATCTTATTTCCTATAATCCTCTCTCCTTTCCAGATAATTTACACCCCTCATATTATCTATGTTAAGTTTACTGCAATTTCCAATATATTTCTCTGCAATACAGTGCCTGATGAGTTGTCTATCTCTCATATTTCCCTTAATTCAATTTCGTTTTATGTCTTGGTTGAGTTTACTTTCCCTGTTGAGTTTCGGATCTATTTCTCTGGGATTATTCAAATTTTTGTTCCTGTTGAGTTTCTCGTTCTTCACATTCAGAATATTTGTAGAAACCGCAAGCCAATACAAATCATTTGTTGGCTCTATCATAGTAGCGATAAGGTACCTTTTGAAATTGACTTTGAGTCCTTATTTGAGAAACGCCAACGAATATTCTGTTTACAACTAAATTTGTCTGACTTTACTAATGTTTCCAAACGTACAGATTTTATGTTTTGGAATGTGAGAGTACTGATTGTATAGATGGTACGTGTATACCCATGTTCTCCTGTGAAATCAGTGTTAAGGATATGATATCTTCTCCATTTAAGTCTCCGATCTCAATCCCTGCAATATAGGAAACTCTTGTTAATAGCTTAACCTAGAAGCTCTTGTGCTCTCTAGTATATATTGTCTCCTCCTGTAGTGTAAATAATATATCGAAACCATATTTCTTTCATGGTATCAAGAGCCTAAACGGTTACCCTAAATTTTTTTTTTTAGCCGCCATCCAAATACCAAGTCTTCTTTGTCACCTCTTCCCTCCCAAACACCATGGCCGCCGCTACCTCTGAAATCGCTGTCAACACTCAAAATCTGCTCAACGTCAACATGGTGAATGTCACCAAACTCACGCCGACAAACTACATGACTTGGAATCTCCAAGTCTATGCTCTTCTCGATGGTTACGATCTCGCCGGATATCTTGATGGCTCCACACCGTCTCCGGAAGACAAAATCACCATCGACGACACAACCTCCGTCAACCCAGCCTTCACCAAATGGCGCCATCAAGATCGTCTCATATACAGTGCCTTGATCGGTACTCTGTCTCCATCAATCCAAGCAATGATGACAAACACCAAAACATCCCAAGACGTGTGGAAGTCTCTCAGTGCAACCTACGCCACACCAATCCATGGTCACATTCAACAGCTTCGTCTCCAACTTAAGCAATTCACCAAAGGAGACAAAACAATTGATGACTACATGCGAGGCCTCACAACTAGGTTCGACCAACTAGCTCTCCCCGGAAAGCCACTCGATCATGAAGATAAAATAGAGTACATCGTTGATGGCCTCCCCGAAGAATACAAGACTGTCACAGATCAAGTTGAAGGTCGCGACGTCTCATCATCAATCATTGAGATCCATGAGAAGCTCATCAACAAAGAGGCTAAGCTCCTAGCTCTCTCTGCTAACCCTCCGCTGCTCCAGTGAGCGCTCACATGGCTAATTCTCGTCTGAAGGGGTACCAAGGAAAGTGTCAGATCTGCAGTGTCTTTGGACATAGTGCGAGAAGGTGCCCCCAACTGATGCCACAAAACTCCAAGGCATACAACTCTCCAACCACGGCATGGCAACCTCGAGCAAACATGGCTCTCACATCACCCAATCCGACAAACGCCTGGCTTATGGATTCCGGAGTTACGCACCACATCACAAGTGACCTCCACAACATGATAATGCAAGCTCCGTCTCAAGGTGATGATGCCGTTTTGATTGGTGATGGTTCGGGATTACAGATCACGCACACTGGTTCCCTCTCGCTTCCCTCTCATACTCGAACTCTTAAATTAAATAATGTGCTGTGTGTTCCAGATATTAGAAAGAACCTAATATCAGTTTATCAACTTTGCAACACTAACAAAGTCTCTGTTGAATTTTTCCCTGCTCACTTTCAGGTGAAGGATCTGAGCTCGGGAATCTTGTTACTCCAAGGCAAGACCAAGGATGAGTTGTATGAATGGCCAGCCCTAACCTCTACCCTTCAGTCTTTCTTCGCAACCTCCATCCCAAAAACAACCTTGTCCCAATGGCGTTTACGCCTAGGGCATCCATCTTTTTCTATTCTTCAGTCTATTATTTCCAAGTTTTCTTTGCCTTTTGCAAAATCTGTAACATAATCATCTATTTGTTCAGATTGTGCTATCAATAAAACTCACAAATTACCTTTCTCCACAAACACTATCACCTCAGACAAACCCTTTCAACATATATACACAGACCTCTGGAGCTCTCCTATAACCTTAATCGACAGATACAAGTATTACCTAGTTCTCGTTGATCACTACAGCCGTTATACCTGGCTCTTTCCCCTCAAACTCAAGTCGCATGTCCTTGACACATTCAAAAAATTCAAGGCGCTAGTGGAGAATCACTTTTCCAAAAAAATCGGCACTTTGTATT